TTTGGGTTTGCAGTCTAGGAGGGTAATACAATCAGGAACAGGCACCTGATAAATCACTACTCCTGGAGGAGGCCTCCCCTTTCAATGCTTCACTTCCCCCTGATCAACACTCTGTGGCTGGTAAGGTGGCACGGTCGTTCTTGCCTCCAGTGTTGCCAGAAGCAAGCAAATATCACCTCCAGCTTCAATAGTGAGCCTGAATAATGCTAGACTGGGACAGCGTCAGGTTTTGCTCGCAGTGAACACATACGTCCGCCATTTTGATTAGCTCCATCTCACAGGGGAGGCTTGCAGGAGTGGTAAACCTTCAGTGGAGGAGTTACAGGACTCTGCACCAAGACTGTGCTGCACGAACCGGGAGAGCGGCCTCCTCTCCTGTCTGGTGGGTCCACTAGGCCTCACCTGGCACGGCAGGAAAACTCATAGCTGGCACCTCTAGAACTGCATCCAGGTCACAGGACTTTGCACCAAGACTGTGCTGCACGAATCTGGAGAGCGGCTTCCTCTCCTGTCCGATGGGTTCACTAGGCCTCACCTGGCACGGCAAGAAAACTCATAGCTGGCACCTCTAGAACCGCATCCAGGTCACAACGCTCATAACTGAAGTCCCAAAGGGTGCTGTATAAGTGTGCTGGGAGATGCTGGTTTGCAGTATATCGCGAGGTAGCGGAGGAGCACTCACATTCTGTGTCATGATAATCAGGGCCATGATAATCAGGCTCTGCCCCCCTGTGTGTGGCTTTTTCTGTTCATATGTATATATATGGCAAAATATTTTTGTGTGAGTGGCTTATTATGTATTTGTAACAGCAAGTGTGGATTTTTAAGCTTGTGTATGTTAGCATACAACAAAACATACAAATGGGGGTTCAGGGAGGCGGGGCCGGGCCGCCGAGCAGAGCGGCAGCCAACCGCGCTAGTTACGACCCTGAATGGCACAACGGCTTTGAAAAAGCCCAAAAAGGCCAAGGAAATACTACCCTTTAAGAGCACTGTGGCCGGGGCAGCACATAAGGAGAGCCCAAGGGATGAACAAACGGACGCTCCCCGCGCAGCAACCGTGAAGCCAGAATGACCGGCACAAGGCCTACACACGTGGAGGCGGTGAAGCTCGTAAGGCGATGGAGGGAGAGAGGTGGACGCCGGCCCGGTCCCGCTCCCCCCGCCCCGGCCGGTGGGGGTAATCCCGGCCCATGAGTCAGACCTTCAGAGGCTGGGGGCGAAGGCCCGCGCGGGGCCCCTTCCCACGGGTAACCAAAATGGCGGATACACACACACGCGGCTGAGAGCCACGCTGGGTCACCCGGACCCCCAGGATACCGGATCACATGGAAGGACCACTAGGGGCAGAGAACTGCCTGGCAAGGAGCCGGTCTGGGCCCCAGGATTTGGTGGTGGTCCAGGGGTAGACGCCTCCAACTCTGCGAGCCCTGCGGTACCGCGGTGCGCTAACCCCCGGCGGACCGGTGGCTGGGGAGGCGCGCACTGATGCCGAGCATGTGGCCGGAGAAGGGTGAGGCGTCACAGGACTGGAGCTCCAGCAGAGGTCAGCAGGAGTTGGGGAGGTGCAGGGGACGGGGGACCCATGGTATTTTCAGGGGTGGGAGGCTGCTGGACTGCTCCTGACCCTGAGTGCCCACAACGCTGAGAGACTCTCTGATGCAAAGCAGGGGCAAGCCCTGGGAGGAACTGAGGGGGTTCGCTACATGTGGGACGTTTGGGGGCCCAAGCAGTGAGCAACCAGCTTGCAGCGCAAAAGACCACCCGAGAAGCCATATACCATGGGATGAGGGATCCCCCCCGCAGCGGAGCTGATAAACCACCTCCAGAGAAGGGACTCACCTTTTTTATGTCCTAGGGACCAAGCCCTGAAATGACATAACACAAATGGTCCACCGAAATTATTCACGTACTGTATTTGCTTATTACCTTAATACTGGACCATATAACAATGAAACAGACTACCCATATCAGCTTTAAAAGTCAATAGGCTATTTGGGCCACAGTTTGTGTCCTAGGGACCAAGCCCTGAGACGACATAACAATTGAAACTGCAATTGCTTGTTTATGCATTCCTTCACTTACATTGCATATTACTACTAGCCTCTCATAATGTTATAGTTCTTACAACTGATTTCCATTTCTTTTGCATTCATTGCTGTTGCAGGCCTATGCCATAATTCATTAGACACAGTTAAGAGACAAACGGCTATGACCTATCACAGCCTTACGATGCTTACCTAATATATTGTAATAGGCGTGGAAACGCTGTTTATGCTGCAGCACCTATACGTTAGTTTGCTATGGTACACAGGTTTAGGCCTACCTCGACGCAGTACAATTGCACCCATCAGTGGAGTACTAAACTGAAGCACCCAAGATACGGCGGTATACCTTCGTAACCATATTAGCTTATCAAGGAACAGCGGCATATCTTATCTACATACATGATTAATCCAGCTGCACACTTTATTTTCTGACCAGATAGGCATAACTTAAATAAGTGGTAATATGCAAAGATTGCAGCTGACAAACAGGTTCAGGTCTAGTTAGACACGGTCAAACTGCACCCACCTAAGATTTATTAAACCGACCCACGCTGTCTGATCATCACATCACACTAGCGGTATCTGCCTCATACATCATGCTCAGCCACCGCTGGAGCGAAATAGGTCCATAAGACCCACAAACCGCTGTTATAAGGGAAATGACCAAGAAGCTTAACATTCAAGCGTAGACAGCCTGGTGCGCAGCATTAACTCAGTGCCTGCAATTTATGCTGTAATGATTCGAAGTGTATTCCTGCAAAGTTCAAATACGCCTATGTGTTCTGATCAATATGCCTCTGCGCAGGCGATAATCTGCATTTATTCCTATGTGCTAACATTTAAGCCCCTACGTAGGCGACCTTTCACCTTAACAAATGCTATAAATTACTGTTTAAGCCCCTGCGTGGGCAACCTCTTGCTTTACTACGAACCAGTTCGCATTATGCACTTATATTGTGAAAACAATAAAAATATTCAAAACAAATGGGGTTTCAGTTTTTCCTAAATGGAAACAAATATGCACAACAGTGAAGTTCTGTAACATTGTATATTACACCACAATTATTAGTTGCACTCACTAATTTTATAAGTTTACATGCATTCAAGCCACTAAGGGTTTCCCCAAGGGGCTGTCATTACATCTCCTACGTTAGAGTTCTCGGAATACTCGAGGGACACCAGTGTTGGGTAAAATAATTTTTATTTCAATAGTCCTACGTGTTTCGTCCAGTCGCCTTGGTCTTCCTCAGGGACCATTTGTAATTAAAAGCATTTAAAACAAATAAATGCCACAAACAAATGTGTATGCTGTTTGAGCAAACATTCTTTTTAAGCTATTCGTTCAAATAAAATACTAATCATCAAACAAATCAGTACCAAAAATGTAGTTCAATCATAAATCATAAACATTTTAAAAAATATTTTACTTCAAACAATTCATTTATTTTATAAATTAACTGAATTTTCTGAATTGATTCCTTCGATAGTGAGCAGGAATTTTATTCAGAATAGTTTAAAAAATTTTTTAGCACGTCTAGTGTGTGTGAGTTAGTGATGTCCCGAACGGTTCGCCACGAATGGTTCGCCACGGACTCATCATTGAGTAAACTTTGACCCTGTACCTCACAGTCAGCAGACACATTCCAGCCAATCAGCAGCAGACCCTCCCTCCCAGACCCTCCCACCTCCTGGACAGTTCACTATTGAATGCAGCTTCACATTCTTAGTGAGCTGTCCAGGAGGTGGGAGGGTCTGGGAGGGAGGGTCTGCTGCTGATTGGCTGGAATGTGTCTGCTGACTGTGAGGTACAGGGTCAAAGTTTACTCAATGATGAGTCTGTGGCGAACTGTTCGCGAACCGTTCGGGACATCACTAGTGTGAGTATCTGATCTTGTACTTTGGTTAACTTGGAGATATATTGACCTTGCTGGGCCAAAGGGCGCTTATAACTTAAATACATCACTGACTGGGGTTTACAAAACCCCTAGTTTTCGATTCTGTGAGATGCACTATGTATGTGATTTACCTGTCAGAGGTAAATAAATCACAGTCTGCTTTTAACTATCCTGTTTCATTTATATAGGGTTTTTATTGGGTTAGAGGTAATTCTCAGTCAATTAGTCTAAATCAATATATTATTGCCACAAATGTTTTAGCTGCTTTTCTTCTACCCATGTTATAATAGGACCAAAACAGAGAGCTTAAAACTGATCACATGACATTACTGAGAACGTCTTTCACCTCTTATGCTTGCCTAACTAAATATAAAGTAAATGGTGTGGTCTCTGAGATTATAAAGGTTTGAGAAGCTCTCCTTTTACTAATAATCAGAAGTAAGAAGAGAGGTAGGGACAATTCGCTAGACCATTCCTAAAATCCTTCCTTAAAAAATGCTGATGTTGATGGGAAAGTTTTTAAGGGTTGAAGCCTTTAATTTTTTTGTATACTCTAGTTTGTATTTTAAGTTATATAACAAATGATTATGTAATATATTTATGGTGGGTTGTTCTAATATGTAAGAGTCCATTTGGTTCATTTGCAAATTTATCTTATATGTTCACTCCTAATCTGGCATCCAGACAGATGAGTTGACCACTAATTTAGACTTTTTCACAACAGATACATACATATAAATATTTGAATATATTTTTGAATAATGCAAATGCTTTTCCTATTTGGATGACATGTGCAGTAAGTTATTTAATAGCACATTTAAATACATTCAACAATTTAGCCCGGGAAAGACTTACAGAGTTTACAACAAATTGAGTATGTCTGTGCTTCAAAAATAAATTTAAATTGCATGGCTCTTGCCCTCCCCCAAATTTGCATAATTGTAAACTGTGTAGGTGTGTATAGGAAGGACCGTGAGAAGAACACCTCTACAAGAAGAGAGATGGTGATTCATGGAATTCACTTCGACAGAAACTCAGAAACACATAAGTCTAATCTGTTCTTACAGAGGCAATCATTCCAAAAAAACTACTGAATACCTGGTTTCTTCTCAGAGAGGTGCCTTGCTAAGAAAAGTGGCACGCATCGTGAACTGTATCCTGAGCATGAAAAGAAAACTGTACAAGAAAAATCCCACTACAATTTTATAAATACTCAAGTCATCTGAGGACCCATAACACTACCAGAGCAAGAATCACAGACAATCACAATCTCATCTGACCTTTTCCAAGAAGTCCAGATACAGGATATAGGTGCATCATCAATGTACGTATCCAAAAGCCCATGGAAATCCAAACGAAATGAATCTAGAATCATAAATCTCATATTTTTGCATAACTGTTATTAAAAGGAACATAAAAGAAGACAATTGAAGACCACAAACCACAAGAAGACCACCCTAACCTCAAGCCACAAACTTTCACTGCCAAGACTTTCTAGGTGCCATCATTAAGAAGGACCCTTACTTGTAATAAATATTGTAAAAAGAAAACCAAACTACTTTCTTTTTTAAAGTGCTTTTTCTGTTGAGAGCGAGAGAGAGACAAAGGGGAACAAGGCTCACTCCCCCGCTGCTGCTTCTGTTTCTTTGAAGCCAAATGGAACGTTTGTGTCTTATCATCTATAGTATCTGTGTCAGCAACATGCTGGGACTCTCTTATGCCGGTAAGAACGTGGGTTTATATGCATGCATATTTATCTTTCTGATTGTACCCTTTTCTACAGATCAGTAGACAAAATAGTATTTATGACACTCATGGAAACCAAAATAAAATATGATAGCTCCTTAAAAAATAACAGTTTCCAAAAACAAGCAAACAGTTGAAATTAATAAAATGTGAAAGTATTATATTTTATTATGTAATCACTATGTCAATCCAAATTGTAAGTAGAATACTGTAACATTATAGAAGAACACGTCTAACATAAGATTTGTGTTTATTACTTGTTTGTGTTGGTATTGCTGCTGCAGTACTATTTTTGGTAAAGAAATTGTCACCCATCTATTAACAATAGGCTATTTACTATGTAATGTGATGGGTATTTAAGATATCATATGGCTTCATCTTGTATGTAAATTTGGAGTGTACTTCTCAAACTTATAATAGTTTCATAAAGTTTTCCAAAAGCCCCAAGTTACAAATTTCAAAAAGCTTACATTTTGTAAACTGATTAGCTCACTACAACTTTTTAGTTACTAAATTCCCAAATACAATATTTGTTGATTTCAATAGGAGATAAATTTAGGTGAACATTTTCTCCAAAATGAATAACATAAATATGAATCAAACAAATTTCTTGAAGTAATGATTCTCATTTTAGCTTAGCTTTGTATTTTGTCCAGAAACATTAGCCTGTAACAAAGAGCATGCTCACTAAAACATAGGTTGTGGTCCAATGTGCTAAAGTATATTGTGAAATGTGAATTGCAGTGTGATCAGAACGTGATTAAGCATCTTAATTGATCCCTAGTTAACAGTGACATCCAACTCTGATCTTGCAGCTACTTTGGGCAACATTTCAAATTACAGAAGAAAATTTGTTCACTAGAGAATAATTGTAAGAATGATAGTTTATCACCAGTTAAAGAGCCAAAATTTGGCATCCCTTATCTATAAAATTTGAAAGAAATATACACTCACCATACATATCTATTTTGTAAGCACAAAAAATGGTCAAATAAAAATACCACTACTGGCATATGGGTCAATTTTAACTTGTGAAGCTCCTGCATTTATAAAATAAAAGAGACTTCGAAATAATGGTTGCTGCATTGGGTATCAATCTGCCTTGGTTTAAGGTTGTGATTATCAATAGATATTGAAGAAGTATTATATATATTTTTTCTGGCTAAACCCTTCCCTCCCAGCATGTATGCGAATATAAATTTTTGTTTCACCCTGCAAAGCAATTCAAGATGAAATTTAGTCTTTAAACCCTCTCTTACACACCTTTTGCTCCCGTTCACCTTGCAGAGCAATACATTAAATCTCTCTGTGTGTCTTTAAGGGGCTGTAAGTTGATTTTATCCAATATCCCACACTCAGAAGTGGCAATGACTATGGAGGTCTCTGACAATACAGAGAGGTTTATTTACTCAAGTGAGAATTATCAGGAATTCAAAGTAAATTTCAAATTCTCCAAGTACGCTATACTTCCAACAAAGATATCTGGTTTCAAACCGTGAAATTCACTATGAATTTTTGACACTATTCACATTAAATAACCATATGTGTACTCAACAGGGATGCCTGTATTGTAAATAGATGCTTGGTGACATTCTTTTGAGAGGTCTTTTTTAAAAAATATATTTTTTTGTTGCACCCAGGCACACAAAGTGAACATTAATTTGTGAAGCTATGTATGTATGTATGTATGTATGTATATATATATATATATATATATTCCACAAAATCCTTGCACTCAGGGCTCTTTAGTATAATTACCTGGTGCTTGCAGTTTGGGGGAGACAATATAGGCAAAATGGAAAGATGACTAGCACACACGGTTTTCCAGTGGTTAAAAGTTGTAAGCTTTAATGTAAATACCTGATCCTGATGAAAGTCCCAGATGTGGACTGAAACGTCGGTCCTTTTTAACATGTATTTACATTAAAGCTTACAACTTTTAACCACTGGAAAACCGTGTGTGCTGGTCATCTCTCCATTTTGCCTATATATGATGATCCTGATGAAAGTCCCCAAAGAGGACTAAAACATTGATTCTGTTTAAAATGCTACAATAAAAGTCATTTTTTATGGAAGTCCGAGAGTGTAGCCAACTACTTTAACCATTTGAATATTGGAGCCCTGGTAATGCACCCGGCCATGGAATTTTGAAGCCAGAGTGCAAGGTACTGTAACCTTTATATATATATATATGTATATATATATATATATACACATACATACAGAAAGATAATAAATATACATCCCAGTAATTGTGTAATGCATTAATTTTTAAGTAATTATTTAATTTCTCTATTGAAGTGGAAATTAATTTTATTGCAAAATGTCAACACTTTCAGTGGAGGCCCAAACATTCCTGCAAGGTAAAGATTAAACTTAGTAAATGTGTAAAGATAGCAGAGAACCTCATACTGATAGCGAGTAAAACTTGGAGGTGGCATCCGAGTAACAAACAAAATACATTTTTATATTTGAGCTATGCAGTATATATTGACATATTAAAATGATAGAGGAAAGATGTTTGGCTTAATCATAAGTATTTGCAACATATGGTGGCATTTTATATAATATGAAATTCACAATCTAATTGGATAAAAGAGAAAAGGAGGAGCCAATGAGAAATCTTCAATAATTAGCATGCATCATGTACCAGAATAAAATACTGTATTATTGGGGATTTTTTTGCATGACATTCCCCATTACCTAAGAAATGCCTGAAATAACTATTCAGAAATAGTAAATCATAAATCACAAGACAGTATAATAACAATTTAAACGTGTGTCCTAGAACGAGACTGTAAACTCATCTTGAGAAAGGCCCTCTTCATCTTGTAATGGTTAAGATTATTTTATCTATCAATTCGTTGGTATTATATAAACTACTGTAAAATTGTAAAGTGCTGTGGAATATAATGATACTATATAAATGCTATATGAAATAACACAATCCAATCTGTATATGTAACAGATGTTTCCATATAACCAAAGTCAAATTCAGAACAAATCTTAAAAACTTAAAACAAAATGTATGCTTACATTTATAGTAGTTGTCTAAATTAGCCAAATATGAAAACATTGTCGGGTAGATATCGATATATCGATATCTTAATCATACCAGGGTCTTCTTTGTAGTTAATTCTCATTTATTGCAATTGCAATATAGTTCCAAGCAATATATATAGTTTTCAAAATTCACACACATATGAATATATATGTGTGCGTGCGTTAATAACATTATTATAATTAACTATATTAACTATTAACTATATTGATGTATGTGACAGGGAGTTTGATTATAAAATTTTAATTTAGGTAAGATAAGGCCCATTTTGCTAAAATCACAGGATAGAGAAAGTATGTCTGCATACATAAAAGATGATTTATTACAGTGAGAAATGTGGGTAATTCAAATCGAATTTCAAATTTAAGGCCAAAGTAGTCAAACTGAAAGCTTAGCTGACTTGGTGAATTTTTCCAGTAGCCTACTTTGGCCTTAACTTTGAAATTCACTTAATTTAACTTTGAATTTGTAATTCTCATTTAAATACCCATGCTAGACAGTGAGCTCCAAGTTGTAATAAATGACAGGGAGTACCAAATGCATATTTTAGTGCAGCATAAACACTTCATGCCTGGATTTTTAGCCCTGGGCATAAACATGGACATCACTTAATCTATTTCACTGTACAATGTAAGGCCATGTAATATGTAATTACTAGCACAATAAAGGGAAACGGTGGCATAATCCTTGTTCTATATAATCTATTTCACACTTTTTATTAATATCAGAATTACATATTATGCCACCCTTGTGGTCCCAGTTTACTCCTCTCTTAAAATTTAACTTTTTATGTGTTTTTTTTTCTTTTTTCCATTTTTAATTTAAAATGCACTGTAAAATGAAGAAAAATAACTAAAGTATTCTAACTTGTTATATTCAAGTATGTTCTCACATATATTCTTTTGAATTTCCGCTTTATGTCCCAAGTGTATAATTTGCAAGTTAAGGGGTAACTGATTACATTACCAGTAGTACAAACAAAGATTTACTACTGTTTGTAAAACTCAACAACTTTTTACTAGTAACATAGGTGGAGATTTACCAAAGTGTACTGTTCTAAAAAGTGGTGCGAAAAATGTAACAGCTCAGGAGCCACCACTGGAATGTGCATGCTGGTTCCACGGGTTTCCATTGTGACTGTCATACTTTAGACCACTTTTTAGAATAAAAAGCATTAATAATTTCCCCCATAGTTTTAATGATGACACTAGTTCTCCAATATATGCCTGATGTGGATAGCTATTTGGAGTAAGCCCTGGATTATTCCATGAATCGGGCCATATTGTATGGATGGTAGGTAGCTGTCTTTTGTATTACAAACTGCAAACCACAATGAGAAATAGACAATAATTCCTAGATTTTACTATTAACATGACGTAAAGTCATGATTTTATTAATGACACGGAGGCGAGTATTATGTATTCTCTTTCTTTATTATACTCCCAGCAGCAAGTAAAGGAAGTATGAGAGAATCATAGAAAAAACATAACAACAGCTTGGTAACAGTGGCACTAATCAGCATCCAAGACTATCCATATGGGTGTGGTGCTCCTTGACTCCTCCTCTTTCTGCGTAGACCATATTGTAAGTTCCAAAATATTCCAACAAACACGAATTCCCAAAACAAAACCATATCTGGAAATTCAACAGGGAACAGCTTCAACCGCCAACTCTCACAAGTGTATTCAAGCTAAAAAAGAAGAAATATATGGTAATATCGAAACTTGCAACTGCTATTCCACAACTATCCAACTCGTCCACTATGTTATTCAATCACTATAAGTATCATATACGTATATTCATCACATACCTTACTCACCTTCGTGTCATGTATGACATTGTACCTACCTTATCGTGTAATTCCAAAGGCCGCATGACTGACCTGTAACTGAAAAACTGAAGTATCTATGCCTGCCACGGATAATAACCATTTGATCCAACGAGCTAAAGTAGGAGTAGATACTGGTAGGTGAGGTACTCTGAACAAGATGAATAATGGATGGGTTCGATCCGAATGGAGCAAGCTTGTGCGGGGCTCGTATTCCTTAAGGCATAACACTGGGCACAGATTTGGGTTATCTGGAAACGACTGGTAGAAAACCTCCTTAGTCGCAGATTTCGTCCTACGTGAAATATTAAAGGAAACTCCGTTCGGAACAAAAGCGCGTACTTGCCAATCCAATGCTCTGACATCAGCAACCCGTTTACATGAAAGTAAACAAAAAAGCATCAACAGCTTGGCTGATAATTGTTTAAGAGAAAGCTCGTGATTCAAAGACTCGAGAAAACGAAAAATCACATTAACATATCAGAAGGAAGAATACCAAGCCTGAGGGGGTCGAGCAAACCGGATGTCTTTGAGCAAACGACAGATGAGGGCATGTTTACCTATTGGAGTACCATCCAATCCCATATGTCTCGCCGATATAGCTGATCTGTACAGATTTATAGTCCGAAAGGCTTTTCCTTCTTCAAAGAGTATAGTCAGGAATTACAAGATTGTTTTCACAGGAACTGATATGGGATCCACTGATTGTCCCATGCACCAATCAGTCCACTTCCTCCAAGCCGACCCGTAGGAACGTCTGGTACCTGGTGCCCAAGACTCTGCCAAGAGTCGTCTGCGAAACATCTTCGAGATTCAATGATCTCCTGAAAGGAGCCATGCCATCAGATGAAGTAGACCTTGGTCGATCAACTCATGACTCATTCCCTCTGGATTGGTCAGGAGGTAAGGTATGTCCGGCAACAGCCGTGGGAAATCTATAGACATTTCTAATAACTGTGGAAACCAAGGTTGTGACCTCCATATCGGGGAATATTGAAGGCATGCAAGGGTCTGAGAGATTAGGTTGAAAAGTGGAAAAGCATAATTCTTGCCCTTGGTCCAGTCTTGTAAGAATGCGTCTGTCGCCAGAGCATCTGGGTCTGGTCTCCAACTGAAGAACCGAGGGAGTTGGTTGTTCAGTCGAGACGCGAAGAGATCTATATTAAAAGGCCCCCAAAGTCGAGAGAGACGTTGGAAGATCATTGGGTGGAGATGCCAATCCCCTGCGTCTCGAAGATATCGAGAATTCCAATCCGCCAGTGCATTGTCTCGTCCTGGGATATATTCCGCTATTATCGAAATGCTGTGTTTCAGACAATAATGCCAAAAATCTCGAGCCATCAGTGCCAGAACTTTCGATTTCGTTCCTCCTAGGTGGTTGATATAACGCACCGCCGAGACATTGTCCATCTTGATTAGGATAGAGCATGAGATGCCTGTGGGGGTCATGCTGTGAATGGCAAAGGATGCCGCTAACAATTCTAGGCAGTTGATGTGTAGCACTGTTTCTTCGTTGGACCATCTGCCACCGGTGGAAACTGATCCACAACGCGCGCCGCAGCCGTGTAAGCTGGCGTCTCACTCTATGACCAGATCTGGCATAGACCCAAATATCACCCGTTCATTCCACACCTCCATGTGGGATAGCCACCATGTCAACTCCTCTCTGGAATCTTCGTCCAGTGTAACACAGGTTTCGTACGAGTGTCCGGAGCGCAGATATGAGGCTTTGAGCCTTTGTAGGGAACGGTAATGTAACGGGCCCGGGAAGATTGCTTGTATGGACAATGCCAATAGCCCTATGATCCTTGCAAGATGTCTGAGGGAAATGGTCATACGATTCATAAGTCATCTGATCTCTTTCTTGATCGAAATAATTTTGTCTTTGGGTAGACAAAACCTCTTTTGTACAGAGTCCACTTGAAATTCCAGAAATTCCATGCATTTGGAGGGTTGAAGAACTGATTTCTCCCAATTCACCAAGAATCCTAAATTCTGGAGAAGGTGGGTTGTCCAAGACAAGTGAACACGTAATTGGGATTGAGATTGAGACAGGAGAAGGATATCGTCTAGGTAAATTATTAATCTGACCCCTCGTGTGCGCAGGAAGGCAATCAGGTCTCTGCAGGTCTCTCATTCTGATCTTGCATTTTAGCAATAATATTAGCCCACAGTGAATTATATACCCAAGTACACTCAGGGTCAAAATTACTGGGCCCAATGAAGTAATGCTACTAGTAGTAGCTGAATGGTTAAGAAGAACAGCATCTGAAGTGACCTGTAGGGAAAATAATACTAGCTATGGCTAAGAACAAAAAGGGAGTCAGGATAGAGTAATCCTCCACACGAACAATTTGACCAGCAATAACAGCAATAAACAGCAAATGTGCACCGTATGGGTCTGGGAGTGCGCCAGGAGGGTAGGAGAGACCATTATCCACCTTAAGCATCGGTCTGCAGCAATTTCCCGCCGAAAATTGCACTTAAAATGGCCGCCGCAAGTAAAAATACATATGGCGGCAGAAACCAAAAAGATGGCCGCCGTGGCACGAACTGCGCATTAGGAAAGGGGAAAACGGTAAAATGAGCCCTCGCGCATGCGCGGACCGTACGAAACCGCGGTATACACCGCGGACATAAACGGTGAGCGGCTAAGGTCAGCCCTGCTGCACCACCGATAAAACTGAACAAGCAGGGAAAGAAAAGAGTAAAACACTACTCTATGGGCAGGAGGGAAAACCAGGGTCCCAGAGACCCCAATAGGCAGCACTCCCAGACACCAGCAGGAAATAAACCAGCAATAATAGTGAGCATTAAATGAGCATTAATATACACTAAGCCAAAAGTTCTGTCACAAAATACACATATATGTATGAAAATCACAGGAGTAGCAAGAGATGAGGTACTTAACTTGTCTGAGGGAGGAGCAAGAAAGAGGAGGAGTCAAGGAGCACCACACCCATATGGATACTACTGGATGCTGATTGGTGCCACTGTTACCAGGCTGTTGTTATGTTTTTTCTATGATTCTCTCATTCTTCTTTTTCTTGCTGCTGGGAGTATAATAAAGAAAGAGAATGCATAATAGGAGCCTCTGTGTCTTTAATAAAATTAATATTTTTGGCTTCAATGTTTCCCATGGTAATGTTGCTTTCATGGTTATTCACTGCAGTGTAAAAGTCACTTTAATATTGTAGTCTAGATTAGCCAAATCTGAAAAATGTAAGCTTTGTTTCAAGTTCAGCTACTTTGGTCTAAAATTTCAAGCCCATATTGGATTCACATTTTAGTGAAAACATTAACTTTAGTGAATAGCTTTATTGGGGACAAGACAAAATAAAAGGTTTATAATGACCTGACGATATTCTGTTTTTAGTACTTTAGAGCCTCAAATCCTGCACTTGAATTTCTGAATTGCAGACGAAAATAGATCTTAATTGGTTCTGCTAGTGATACTGCCAAATTTGAAATCATTTTCAACTTAAAACCAGGCTTTAAATTGCTAGGTTAGAGTAAAATAAATTGGCATCAATAGTGATGATAATAAGTGGGAAACAGAAATACAAACTAAAGAAATTCCCAAAGCTAGGAATTAAATTGGGTAAATGTTTAAATGAGATTTGGATGCTGTCTGTTCATAAAATTGTGCTTTTGAGTGCCACATGTTTTCATACTCACTGTTTTTATTTTTATAAAAGGTAATTGCATGAATGCTAAATTGTATTGCCTTTAATAATGTCCCATAGAATATGTCTGTTATTTTGTTAGATCAGCAAGATGATAAATCAATGTCTTAAAATTGAACAACTGAAACAACTGTAGGCACAGGTATACATCACAAGCTACAGTGCTTTTCTTCCTTTGAAGTGTAGTTCCTGTGCTGGATGTCCAATAGTATAATCAAACAATACAGACAGCTGCCAGGATAAATATATGCATGCAGTAAGCTGACTGCTACTCACATTCTATGGAGCAAGAATCAGCTCTCTGCATTTATTCATTACACAGTCATCAAGAAGATTTATTTTTTTATACAGGGTTGGCCAAAATTCAGAGTAGGGTTTTGAGGAGTTCATAACCTTGTTATCGATTAAACAATTTAAATGATATTTATGAATGAGGTAAGAGCGAAAAGCATTGTAAAATGGTTTGTCCCATTACCAGGGAATGGCGTTAGGGCATTCCTATCATCATAAACACTAAAGTGGACCGTAGTGATTATGAGGCTTGGAGTAACTCTTTGAATTGAAATGCTTTATTTTAAACAATTGAGATTATGATTATCTGTGAAGAGTAATATGCCATATTCACTAATCTCTCTGTTTTTACAGATGAAGAGATAACATTGACCCATTTTCCATCGGACATTTTTATAAATCCAGGTGCAACTGTCACCTTTACTTGCAACGTTTCATCCTTGAATTATACGATACGTGATATAAACTGGTATAAGACCATCAATAATGAGTCAAAAAAGATAGCAGATTTAAGCAACCCAGAAAATGGAAGAATATGCATTTCCGCAAACTGGAATTTAAGTAAAGCAGAGATATTTATAAAGAATGTGACCATGAATGACAGTGGGGAATATCACTGTGAGCATGTAGATGTAAATGGTGACAAAAAAGTTTCCAAGAGCAGAAGGTCCAAGCTAAATGTTACAGGTTAGTAAGCACTCATTATACATTGCAAATGTGGATTTGCTTTTCTGCAGAGTGGATAATGACTTAACAATGTAAGAGCTAAAGATAACTAAGGATAAAAACTCTGTTGTCCTAAGCAGGTAACAAATTGTACCAATATGCCTCTATTTGTCATTAAGCTGTATGTGTCATTTTTTACGTCAAAATGAATTTTTTATATTTTAATATTCTTTTTAAAGAGCCAACAAATTAGGCAATGCTGTACAATAGGTGGACTAGCAGACAAATATTTGCAACAAGATGAGTTGGACGCACGGGAACAGAAGGTGTTGAGGGCCCTGCTCAAATGAGATATGAATGCATCTAGATATATTGTTGTTGTTATTAACATTCAAACAAATAAATCAGCATTAAACTGTTCTGAGTTTATTCCACTTTTGTATTGTGCAGCTGAGATTTCTAATTCAAATCAGTCGCTTTAAGTAACCATTAATGCTATAAAAGTGAGTATGATGCGGACAAGGCTATCCCGAGAGACAAACTTATAAAATTATTTGAGAGCAGACTAAATTGGCCAAATGCTTTTTAACAGCCTTCAAAGTCCATTTTGAAAAAGATCTATAGCCAGTGTATTTTCATTTGGACTCAAAACAAGGACAATGAATGCGACACTCATTGTTGCTCATTGCAGCAGTTATGGTGCAATTTGTCATGCAATGATGTGCTCTGAGGTTTGGGCTATAGCAGGATTTACGTAGCCAACTACTTCAGGTCCTCTTAGCAAATGAGTCACCATTGACTATTTATGAAGTTAAATCTGTGCAGAAAGGAATATACTGATACATAATGATGCTCTCCAGATATTTGTATCGGTATTGAGAAAGTCAAATAACTTTAGCAGCCAAGGTGGCGCTTATGGTGCTGGTTCTTAGGGTTGTGGTCCCCTGACTTTTCTTAAACTTTGTTAAAGTAATAAGCCCATCACCATAACAACTACAGCCCACTTTAGAGATCTCTGCAAAGAGCTTTCCTTTCAGGGGGTGTCAAATCCCAGCAGCCATCATAAGCACCAGCTGTGAGAATCAGGCATTGTCTTCCTCATCATGATATGTGCTTTATGGAGTCCCCTGCTGCAATCATTTCATTCAACATTAAACAATTTTTAAAGTATTTATGTTGTAATACTAAATGAGATTCCCCAGCAGGCCATCCCCTCTGTGCTGCTTTGGCAAATGAGGAAGTATTAGCCTGAGCAGCAGTTGGCAGCTGTGATTGGTTGGCAGTATCAGCTGACTGCTTTTATCCTGTCAGAACTCCCAATGACCGTATGAATGAGTATGACTACAAGGAAGTGTGTAATCTCTCCCTTAGCCACCCCTCCAGAAGGGGCTGAACTGTGGGTGGCCAGTAACCCTTATTTAGTAATTCGATTTTAACCCCTTAAGGACACATGACATGTGTGACATGTCATGATTCCCTTTTATTCCAGAAGCTTGGTCCTTAAGGGGTTAAGAGATGAAATATAATGCCTACAGTGTCCCTTTAATAGAATCCAAATCAGCTAGTTAAAAAATTTTCATGTTGATCTGAATTGAGTACTTGTTCTTAGCAGGTAAATTTGGTAGAACTCACTGAAATTAAATTAGTTTTTCCATTTATGATCTGCCGACACCATCTCAAATGCCTCCATACTCAGCAGTGACTCAGGAACTGGGACCAAACTATGGAAGGTCTGGTATTTGTTTCTTAAGAACTATTGTATTCAGTTTTGTCATTGGAAATATGGTCTCATCAGATCAATTGAAACAGAAATGAGCAGAATATATTTTCATCAGAAAAATTGAGACATATTCATAATTATTATACATCAATTGTATTTATTATTACTAACTCTGTATTGGTAAACAATTTATTGCACATAGAGTGTGTAAAAGATGCATACCGTAATTAGATGTACACATCTAGTTTTCCACTATTATATCAATACTATAGTTTTCAAATAAATTGTATTTTCTTATTAGATGGAATTATACCAGAATCAAGTTTAACAACTCCTTCAAAGAAAAATTCAAACAAAAAACCAAAAAGCAACACAAATATTACCATAATCTTGGTCTCCATCATCCTCACTCTATTGCTGCTGTTTTTTATCTGCATTGCTCTGGTACTATGGAAACAAAAAGGTAAGCATCAGATTGGCTTGGAATAAGTGGATTGAAATAAGACTGAGCTACAATGAAATCTTTTTTGGTTAAATGTCATTTTTGAATGTGATATATACCTAGGTCTATATTCTTAACAACCAATACAGAATGAGGAAAAGCCAAAAGTTAAAACGATGTAATTGTCAGAGTTTCCATGCCAATCTCCTTCTTTAGAGAATAATTAATATCCCTTTGCGAGGATATGAATGATTTTGTATATTGGGCAATGTTCTTACTGTACCCTCTGAAAGAATATAACACTCTGTCCTCGGGTCTTTGCAGAGTTTGGGGGCAGAGAGGGGGCAGGAGACACAAACACACACACTCAGGGCCGCCATCAGGGGGTGACAACCGTGACAGTTGTCACGGGCCCGGCGGCCCTGGGGGGTCCGGACTGCTCTGGCAATCCTGGGCCCCACTTTGTTTCTCTGCACACATAGATAGCGAATCTCGCTATCTATGTGTGCAGCCGCGGGCCCCCGGCTCCCTGTTACCGCAGAGGGGGCCCAGGCAGCACAGGAGCAGCTTCTCCTCCTCTCTGCTCTCTTCTCATAACTCTCGCGAGACCCGGTTACCATGGCAACGCTCCGCGGGTCTCGCGAGAGTTATTAGAAGAGAGAGGAGGAGAAGCTGCTCCTGTGCTGCCTGGGCCCCCTCTGCGGTAACAGGGAGCCGGGGGGGCCCCCCACCGGACCACCACGGATGGAATCTCCCCCCTCCCTGGATACAGGTAAGCAGGGAGGGGGGAGAAACATTTAATTACATCAATAGAAAATTAATGTTAAAATGCCCCTTCCTCCCCCTCCCCCCCCAGATCACACATTTACACAACACACACTGCATACACTAACACAACACACACACTGCATACACTAACACAACACACACACTGCATACACTAACACAACACACACACTGCATACACTAACACACACACTGCATACACTAACACAACACACACTGCATACACTAACACAACACACACTGCATACACTAAAACAACACACACACTGCATACACTAACACAACACACACTACATACACTAACACAACACACACTGCATACACTAACACAACACACACTGCATACACTAACACACACACACTGCATACACTAACACAACACACTGCATACACTAACACAACACACACTGCATATACTAAAACAACACACACACTGCATACACTAACACAACACACACTGCATACACTAAAACAACACTCACACTGCATACACTAACACAACACACACTGCATACACTAACACAACACACACTACATACACTAACACAACACACACTGCATACACTAACACACACACACTGCATACACTAAAACAACACACACTGCAAACACTACCACACCACACACTGCATACACTACCACACCACACACTGCATACACTAAAACAACACACACACTGTATACACTAACACAACACACACTGCATACACTAACACAACACACACACACTGCATACACTAACACAACACACACACACTGCATACACTAACACAACACACACACACACTGCATACACTAACACAACACACACTGCATACACTAACACAACACACACGCACTGCATACACTAACACAACACACACACACACATGCTGCATCCACTAACACAACACACACACTGCATCCGCTACACACTAACACACACTCTGCATCTGCTACACACTAACACACACTCTGCATCCACTATACTGACACACACTCTGCATTCGCTACACATTAATACACTCTGCATTCACTACACTAACACACACTCTGCATCCGCTACACACTAACACACACTCTGCATCCGCTACACACTAACCCACTCTGCATTCACTACACTAACACACACACTCTGCATCCACTACACACTAACACAATCTCTGCATTCACTACACTAACACACTCTCTGCATTCAGTACACATTAACACACTCTCTGCATTCACTACACTAACACACACTCTGCATCCGCTACACACTAACACACACTCTGCATCCGCTACACACTAACCCACTCTCTGCATCTGCTACACACTAACCCACTCTCTGCATTCACTACACATTAACACACTCTGCATTCACTACACTAACACACACACTCTGCATCCGCTACACACTAACACAATCTCTGCATTCACTACACTAACACACACTCTGCATCCGCTACACACTTACACACTCTCTGCATTCACTACACTAACACACACTCTGCATCCACTACACACTAACACACATTCTGCATTCACTACACTAACACACACTCTGCATTCACTACACATTAACACACACTCTGCATTCACTACAAATTTACACACACTCTGCATTCACTACAAATTTACACACACTCTGCATTCACTGCACTAACACACACACTACATTCATTACACTGACACACTCTGCATTCACTACACACTAACATACACTCTGCATTCATTACACACTAACACACACTCTGCATTCACTAAACTATGCACACACTGTGGATTCACTATACTGACACACACTCTGCATTCACTACACTAACATACACTCTGCATTAACTGTACACACAGCATCCACTACACAAACATCCTGTATTCACAGTACACACACTACATCCACCACACATTGAAACACTCTGCATTCACTATACACAGACACTGCATCTAATACACGCACTACATCCACTAAACACATTTCATCTAGTACATACAAACACTACATCCACTACACAAACACACACTACATCACTGTACACACAGTATATCCACTACTCAAACACACTCTGCGTTCACTATACACACTGCATCCGCTACACAAACACACACTCTGTACAAACAGTATCTAATACACACAAACACTACATCCATTACACATATTCTAATTCACTTCCACTATACACACCACATTCAGTCCTGCATCATTGTCAGCGGACCAGGTAGGGCGTGTGCGGGCCCGGGAGGGAGGGAGGGGGGGGCCCAAACCTGGTGTTTTGTCAGGGGCCCCAAAATTTCTGATGGCGGCCCTGCACACACTGCATCACTTACACACAATGCATCCCTTAGACAGCTTTTTATCCCTTACACAAACCCACTGCAACCTCTACACATGCACTACATCCCATATACAAACTGTAATTCCTATGCACTACATTTCATAGCCACAGATTACATCCTCTACAACACACAACGCATAACCTACACACATACACTCCACTCGATGGAAGGGACTTATAGGTGGGCTCGTGGGTGGGCCTTGTGCGAAGACACTTGGGCGGGCCCAAGCCTTGTGCTGTGTGAGGGGCTGCAAAATTGCTGATCGCAGCCCTGCACACACACGATGCATCCCTCGATACACACACATGCACACACACACACAATACATCCCTACACACACACAGATAAACAATACCTACACACACACACAAACACACACTGCTTCCATCACACACACAGAAACATAAAGCATCCCTTACGCGCACAGAAACACACAATACATCCCTTAGACATAAATCCACACTGCTTTTTATCCCTTACATAAATACATAGCATCAACTATACACATGCACTGCATCCACTATATGCACACATTTACTCCCTTACACATACACACACTGCATCCCCTATACACATACACTACATCCCTTATATACACACACTACATCCTATATACAAACTGGAATCCCTATGCACTAAATTTCATAAGCACACACATTACATCCTCTACAATAACACACAACACATCTCCTACACACATGCGCTCCACTCGCTGTGAGCGAACTCATACATCCTCTACAATAAAACACAATGCATCCCCTACATGCATACACTTGCTGTGAGCGAACTCATGTGTGAGCCTTGTAGGCAGGTACGTATCTTACATGAGGCAAACAAGGCATCTGCCTTGGGCGGCCCTTTGCAGGGGGCGGCAAAAAAAGCCACCCGTAAACGCCCAGGCCGATCCTTTGTTTGCCTCGTTTCCTGGGGGCTCAAGAGCTGGCCAGCTGGCCACTTTTGAGCCCCTCGAGGTGGGGGGAGGGCAGCGGGCAGCAAGGGAGCATGCTCACCTGAGCTCTTCCTGCTCAGCTCCCTCGCGCGCTGCTTAATGAAGTCGGGAGCCGTCAGACCGGCTCCCGGCATCACTAAGCGACACGTGAGGGAGCTGAGCAGGGGAATTAGAGCTCCCTTGCCGCCTACTCTGCCTGTCCGCCCTCTGCCTGCCCGCCCAGCAGCCCTACTGGACAGATAAGTAATCCACTCCAGCTCTCCCAGGGAGGCTGGGTGAATTTAAAATAAAAAAATATTATCATAATTTGTGAGTGTTGGTGGTAATGTGTGTGTGTATGTGTGTGTGTGTCTGTGAGTGAGTGAATGAGTGTATGTGGGTGAATGTGTGTGTGTGTCAGTAAGTGAATGTGTGTGTGTGTCAGTCAGTGAATATGTATGCGTCTGTCAGTGAGAGTGTGCGTATGTCAGTGTGTGTCCGAGTAATAGTGTGTGTCTGTCTATCATTGTGTCAAATCAGTTAGTGTGTGTGTGTAGGTCATTGTTTGTCAGTGTATATGAGTGTATGCATCTATCAGTGAGTGTGTACTTCTGTCAGTCAAAGTGTGGCTTGACTGGGGAAAATTTAAATTAAGGGGGGGTGGTGGCTGCCCGAGCACTGTCCTGCCTAGGGCAGCACAAATCCTAAATACACCATTGCTTGTAGGTTGACTCATGGTTGGGCCTTGTGGGTAGACACTGGGAAGGGCCCATAGGGCCCAGGCCTTGAGCTTTGTGGGGCCCCAAAAATTTCTGATGGCAGCCCTGCCTGTCAGATGAGAGGTGCCACAAAGGGTAGTTGAGAATGACAGGGCTAAAATCCTGTAGGACCTCAGATTGGTTTGGCAATACCCAATGACTATAACATAACGAAAAAGGAACATAATAAAGTGGACAAATACCAAGGGCTGAAAGGACTGATTCCAGGTGGGACATCTGAGAACTCTGTCCAGAAGGAAGCAGTTCTAGGAGTAGCTCAAATGCTGTGCAGAACCCTCAAACATCAAGGCCTCTGGTAGATGACCACCAGGAGGTGACAAGATGACATAACAACAGATGTAAGGGAAATGATCCTATAGAAACTAGCAGTCGTTAACCTGCTGGCAAGACTACCGAAGATCACTGCAAAGCAACCACCAGACAGCATACTAGCTGCAGTTCATGAAGCATTGTCCACAATCTCATCCGGCACCATCACAGAAACGAACAGGTTCATATATGCCACAGCATTAGTGGTCCTCCAGCTACTTGATTACAAGATCAGGCTCAAAGAGAAGCAATGCCCATCATGGAGAATAAAGACAGCATGGAAGGAAGTTAGTAAGCTGGATACACTTAACAGAGGTGGAAAGATCAAAGATAGATCCTGGCTGCTATGGAAGTACAATGATATTCCCATATTTGTTCTGCTGGAAACAGCTAAGCAAAGACTGACTGCATTGACAACCAGATTGAGCAGATACACCAGAGAAGCAGAAGCTACAAGAATCAATTTTTCTTAACCACCACATCTCCTCGCAAGACCAACCCAGAGCTGAGACTGAACAGTACTGAAATAATATCTGGGAGTAAGAAGCACCTCATAACACCAAGTGGCTATTAGACCTGAATGCAGACCACTGCATGCTGACAGAACAGGAACCAGTCATCATCACAGTCGAAGATATCCAACAGAGAGCAGCACACATGAAGAGCTCGTCAGCCCCAGGACCTGGCATGATCCACAACTACTGGATAAAGACGTTAACAGTGCTGCATGAACACCTAGCAGCACAAATCAACAAGCTACTGACTGGCTAACAGAAGGCAGAACAATACTGGTCATGAAAGACCCTTACAAGGGCACAGTACCGACCAATAACCTGTCACATCACAACATGGAAACTCCTGTCAGGCATCATAGACTCCAAGATGCATGGGCATATGAGTCAATGTATGAGCAATACTAAGAAGGGGATTGGAAACAACACCAGAGTATCAAAACACCAACTACTGGTAGACCAAGCAGTCACAAGGGATTCTAAGACTAGACAGACCAATCTGTGTATGGCCTGGATTGACTACAAAAAAGCCTATGACACAATGCCACACACATGGATACTAGAATGCTTGTCTCTCTACAAGGTCAGCAAGACAATAAGAGCCTTCATCAAGAACTCGATGGGCAAGTGGAAAACAACTCAATAAGCCAATTCCAGGACAATAACTCAAGTGAACATTAAATGTGGCATATACCAAGGTGATGCGCTATCCCCAATGCTGTTCTGCATAGGCCTCAAACCCCTTAGCCAGATCATCAAGAAGAGTGGATACGCATACATGTTCAAGAGTGGAGCTACCATCAGTCACCTACTCTACATTGACGACATCAAGCTGTATGCCCGGAATGAGCGAGACATTGACTCAGTGATCCACCTAACTAGGATATACATCAAGGAAATCGGAATGTCATAAGGACTAGAGAAGTGCGGGCGGATGATAGCAAAAAGAGGGAAGATGATCAGGACAGAAGGTGTTGAAGTTCCAGAAGGCAAAATAGAACATGTAGAGAACAGCTACAAGTACCTGGGGGTACCACAAACGCATGGCAACCATGAGGAAGAGGCAAGGACATCTTTCAAGTACCTTCAAAGAGTCAGACAGGTCTTGAAGCCCCAGCTAAATTGCAAGAACAAGATCCAAGCCATCAACACATATGCCCTACTAGTCATTAGGTACCCAACTGGAATAATAACCTGGTCAAGACAAGAACTGGTCACCATGGATGTCAGGACCAGAAAACTACTCACTATAAATGGAGGATTCCACCTGAAATCCAGCACCCAGAGACTATACACCTGCCGGAAGGAAGGAGGTCAGGGGCCTGATGAGTGTCAAGGCAACAGTCCTGGTTGAAACCCAGAGCATCCACAAGTACATCATGAAGATGGCTCCCAAAGATGAACTGCTAAGGGAATGCCTGAGACTTCCACAGATCGAAGATGCAGAAAAAGAGGAGATTCCTTGGCAAGACAAACCTCTCCATGGAGTGTACCACCAGCAGATAGTGGATGTGGCTCACATGACAAAATCCTACCAGTGGTTGGAAAAGGCAGGACTGAAAGATAGCACTGAGGCACTAATCCTAGCAGAACAGGAGCAGACACTCAGAACCAGATCAATAGAAGCTGGAGTCTACCACACCAGTCAAGACCCAAGGTGCAGACGGTGCAAAGAGGCCTCTGAGACAATCCAGCACCTAGTAGCCAGATGCAAGATGTTAGCAGGAACAGCATACATGGAGAGACACAACCAAGTTGCTGGGATTGTGTACCGAAACATCTGCACAGAATATGGATTGGACCTGCCTAAGTCCATATGGGAGATACCAGAAGGGGTAGCCGAGAATGACAGGGCTAAGATCCTGTGGGACTTCAAGATCCAAGCAAGTGCTGGCCAACCAACCAGACATCGTGGTGGTAGACAAGGAACAATAGACTGCAGTCGTGGTAGATGTGGCAATACCCAGTGACTATAACATCAGGAAGAAGGAACATAAGAAGGTGGACAAATACCAAGGACTGAAAGAAGAACTAGAAAGGATGTGGAAAGTGAGGGCAGTAGTAGTCCCAGTTGTGATAGGAGCACTCGGGGCTGTGACTCCCAAGTTGGGGGAGTGGCTTTCAACAGATTCCAGGTGGGACATCTGAGATCGCTGTCCAGGAGAGTGCAGTTCTAGGAACAGCTAAGATACTGCAGAGAAACCTCAAACTCCCAGGCCTCTGGTAGAGGATCCGTGAATGAGAAATAAACATACTACCCAGGAGGGGTGAGAAAATCAATTTTATATATATATATATATATATATATAGAGAGAGAGAGAGAGAGAGAGAGAGAGAGAGAGAGAGAGGGAGAGAGAGAGAGAGAGGGGAAAAATATGCAGTGTCAACCAAATGTTAGTTTTTATGAGAGTTTAAAAGATCAACGTTTGCATTACACTCATGCTGAACACTGGTATCTATAATAGTCTGTAGCCTTATCTTTTCCATTTCAAGAAAACGTCTATCACATTTCATCTCACAAAATTGATTTGAAAGGCCTTATCAGCTGTATGTATAACAATATTTTCAGGGTCATTCACTAAAGTAAGAGTTCAAGGTGAGCTCAAAGTGAATTTTACATTTAAGGCCAGAGTAGCTGAATGGAAGGCAGACTTTTTACCTGATTAACTGATTAACCCTGTATGTACAAGGATTTTTAGCAAAATCTATAGCATTAAAAGTAAAAAATAGTTGTAAGCACTTATTTATAAGTGCTTATTTTGCATAATTTGTACAGTATTTGAATAATGTAATGCTCGTTTCCTGTAGATGCATACTTGATTAATTTGGTAAGCAGAAGGTTTGTCTGTTGGCAAAAAATAAAATACAATTTAAAGGGACACTATAGTCACCAAAACAACTTTAGCTTAATGAAGAAGATTTTGTGTATAGATCATGGCCCTGAAGTTTTACTGCTCAATTCACTGCCATTTAAGAGTTGAATCACTTTTGTTTCTAATTATGCAGCCCCAGCCACACCTTCCCTGGCTGTGACTGACACAGCCTGCATGAAAACAAAATGGTTTCATTTCCAATCAGATGTAACATACTTTAAAAGTTTTTATCTCCTGCTCTATCTATTGATCTTTCTATACATACATGAGGCTCCTGCAGGATCTAGCAAGCTATTAACCAAGCAGGAGATAAGAAATTCTAAATTAAACAGAATTTGCAATAGAGGGAGTGTACGCATTAGATGTCTCTTTACAGGAAGTGTTTAGGAAGGCTGTGCAGGTCACATGCAGGGAAGTGTGACTTGGGCTGTATAAACAAGTGATTTAACTCCTAAATGACAGAGAACTGAGTAGTGAGACTGCAGTGGCATGATCTATACCAAAACTGCTTCATTAAGCTAAAGTTGTTTTGGTGACTATAGTGTCCCTTTATTGGTATAAGCAGCAGAGGCACTACAGAGTATTCCAGTCATTATAGTGAAAGGATGCTAAAAATTGAGAACAGTTCTATATTTCTATTAACCTCCAGCCCCTTCTGTGCCTTTCTGTACCCTATCTTGTAGCGTATGCAAGTAGAATTAAAGTAAAAGCTGAGCAAAGTTGTGTCCCTTATTTCAGTAAAAACCTAATCATGGCCAGTATAATGTGAATGAATAGAGAAGAAACATATGATGTTCCTCTACTCACACAGCACTGCTAGTGCTCTCAGACATTGATTGAGAGACTGGGCAGGGAAACTTTCAAAGCCTTAGCAGTGATCCTATTTGGCGATACTACAGTTAGTGGCATTGCGGGAAGGCAATACACTAGTATTTGGGCCTATACCTGTTGTGTGCATTGTAACAGCAAGACAGCCCTCTCTCAGTATGCCACTTAAAGGACCACTATAGGCACCCAGACCACTTCAGCTTAATGAAGTGGTCTGGGTGCCTGGTCCATCTAGGGTTAACCCTTTCTGCTGTAAACATAGCAGTTTCAGAGAAACTGCTATGTTTACCTATGGGTTAATCCAGCCTCTAGTGACTGTCTCATTGATTTTCACAGTGAGGAGATGCCAGCGTCCATAGGAAAGCATTGAGAATGCTTTCCTATGAGACTGGCTGAATGCGCGCGCGGCTCTTGCCACGCATGCGCATCCAGCCGATGACGGAAGAAGAGGGAGGAGAGTCCCAGCGCCGAGGGAGCCCAGGGCTGTAAATGAGGTAAGGGATTAACCCCTTCCTCCCCCTTCAGCGCCACAGGAGTGGGACCCTGAGGGTGGGGGCACCCTCAGGGCACTATAGTGCCAGGAAAATGAGTTTGTTTTCCTGGCACTATAGTGGTCCTTTAATTATTTTTGGTTTAGAATGTGAGAATCCACATAATCTGCAGTGTATATTAATAAGTCACATGAAACCCATGCAACAGGCATCTTATTGCTGCATTACCCTATGGCCTCTGCTGAGATACAGTTATATGTTTTAACTATTAGTTTATTCTAAAGTTTTCGCTATATTATTGAGTGCCAATTGTCATTTAGTGATATTTATCTATTGCTGGAAATACTTGCGATTACTGTAATCAGGAAGTAATATTGTTTCCTGTTGTTGTAACAGTCAACTTTTGCTATTTTTTAGGAAACAAGATACCACAAGCTCAAGACAAACATCTGGTAAGCATTACATAATCTCCATTACACTATCTTTTTCCTGAGATTTGCCTCAAATATTGTTGCCTTATTCTCAAACAACAAAACAAAGGTAACAATGATTACAAACGTCACGCAGGCTTTTTAACACAAATTGGTAAGGGGATGTGTCCAGCATTGAGAAAATCTCTTAGAAAATCTAGGTAAATGAAGCAGTCAAAAAAGTAATTTAAAACCAATTATAACCAACACATGTAGGACACTATTTAAGTCAAATGTTAAATATTCCACCAACAAGACAATTTCAAGTTGAAGAACTAAAAGACTGGATTGTTGATTTTTTTTTAAATTCACTATTTGTATTTTTAACTAACATGATGAAAATAAAATATGTTTGTAATTCTAGGAGTCACCTACACAAAGTCCAACAGTGTATACAGTAGACTACGGAGTTCTAGAATTTAGCAACAAACCTTACAGGAAGTCTGCAGAGCTGTGTGTAACAGAGCAAGTTGAGTATGCTTCAATCATGTTTTCTTCTGGGACTCCATCCATGGGAGAAGAACATAGATGAAAAAATCTCTGCTTGAAATTATAACTTGGAATATTGTTGAGATTTATCACAGATTCATACTTAAAAAGGACCTAAAAATAACAGACATTACATTAAAGGACAAATTCCCAGCTACCTTTATTTAAATTGTGTGATTTTATAAATTATTTCAAAATCTTAATCTATATGTACCGGGTAGAATTTTCTGTTTTCCACCTCCTCCTTCATACAGTTAGTGATTCACAGACCAACATACACTGTGAAGAACCAGACAGGGACTTTTTATCCTTTAGGTTTATAAACATTGTTTCTTCAGCGTTGGGAGAATTAATAATGACTTGAAATATAAAAGTGAAATATATTTTTTGTGTTAGAATATGTGGGCAATGAAAATGTTAAAGTATTGTGAATAGGAATCAGTATGGAAAAACAAGACGAATCTAGGATTTATAAAGTAGTATCATTTTCAAATTAAAAAAATGTACCATACAATTATCGATTTAAGCATCTAAATGGCTGAGTATATATATATGTATATATGTATGTATGTATATATCTATAGAAATCGGGTGCACTCACAAGCCTTTTTCCAGACTCCGAACAAGTCGAAATTTGATTGTTTACACTATTGGAAATAATTCATGTAGGTCAATAAATACAGGAGTTGTACCCCTTTTCTATGGAAATATTGTAACGCAGTGTATGCTGCCTGGTAAAGCTTACCAATTTACTCAAAATGAGAGTGCCAAGGTTCATTGTGTATATATATATATACATACACACAATTCAAAAGTGCCTCTGCTCTGTGGCCAGAACTTTTCTGCACATTGTTCAGTCTAACAAAATATCACAGTGGTTAATATTGTTTTATGTAATCTTGCTAAATTAAAATTAGCAATACAATATCATTTGATTATATCACTACTGTGATTCTTTTTTGTTTTGAATTAGCTTAAATGCCATTTCACAGCAACAGTTGTCAAAGATCTTATCTCGGCTTTGAAAACCCTCAGTAGAAGAACCTTCACCTTGCTATGTAACATTTCATCTAGTTTGATATTCTGCTGATGCACCAACATGTGATGTCTAGAAGATTAAGACATGAGCATGCAAAGTCAAGGTGCCTTTGTATCAAACTTATTATTTTCAGGCTACTCGTTATTTTCAATACAGTAACAGAAAGCAGTTTTTGAAGTTCTTTAGTAGAATAACATTTTCTATTTTTTGAGGCCAGTGTAAATCTGGGATGGGTTAAATGATACAATAAAACAGTATTTATTTGTATTTTTATTGTGATTAACCAAAAGGCTCTTCTTGGCACTATTAATGTATAGATTTGTTATATATACGCAATAAGATTTGTATGTTTATCTGGTTTATTTTTGTTAAAAAAAGTCTTATATTTATTAAAGTATTTGGTAAAATATTTATGCAATGTTTTTCTTTTGAGACTCTGAGGAAGTTTATATATGTATAGTGTGTTTGTATATACTCTTTTCTTCTCTCTCGTTGACAGATATGCTATGCCATACACTATTGAAAAGGTAGATTTCTTTATGAAGCAAGGCTTACGCCAAACCTAAAACTTACATTTAGGCTTATTGCTGTAAATTAAACAAATATTTAGCTGAACTGAAATTGAATTACTTATTATTAAAATTAAAGGAACACTATAGGGTCAGGAACAGAAACATGTATTCCTGACCCTACAGTGCAAAACCCACCATTAAGGTGGCTTGCCCCCTCCAACCTCCCTTAAAAGCATGAAAAACTCACCTTATTTCCAGCGCCGTGTGGGTCTACTGGCACTGACCCCGCCCCTTGGTGACATCATCAGAATTGCCAATTTTTAGCTGTCCCTATTTTGATAGTCATCCCCACTTTGAGACTAAATGGCTACTGTAGAAGTTGACCATCATTGTTTTGCATAAATTCATCCCCTGATATTATAATATCTTAAAATAATTATTTATTGAAGAGCTCATGCCACTCTCTTATTTTCATCTACATCTCCTGATTCTATAAGAAAACCCCTCCCAAATTGTTTCTCTACTAATATAAATTTGTTAAAATTAAGTGTTATTTTTATACTCATTAAGTGAGTTTTAGGTATCTGTTGAAAGTGAGAGTGTTGAAATGCAATCATGGAAAATAATGACTAAATGAAGAAGGAAAATGAAATTATAACTAACATTCTATTTAAGGTTGCACATTTGAAACTAAATGATAATCACCAGAAAAACTCTTACAAAAATATATATTTTTAAATCTGTTCCTGCAGGCACTCTGCTGCCCCCAAATGCCCTCCTCCTCCCCGTGTTCCCCCTGTCATGGGGGGTGGGAGCAAGAGGTGATGGACACCCCCCCCAGCCCTTCCCCCCCGCCCCACCTTCTAAATACACACACACACAGTCAGACACACACACAGTCAGACACACACACAGTCAGACACACACACACACACAGTCACACACACACACACAGTCAGACACAAACACACACACACAGTCAGACACAAACACAGTCAGACACAAACACAGTCAGACACAAACACACACACACACACACAGTCACACACACACAAACACACATACACACAGTCAGACACAAACACACACAGTCA